AGTGCGGGCCAGCTCTTAGGTTGGCTCAGGGGTGTGGGCTCCCGTCTTGCTAGGCCTTTCGCAGTGGTGGGAGCTGTCTTGAAGTTGGTTTGTCTGTCGTCATTCTCGATGTACCTGGTGGGGGAGGATGTGTCTTAGTGTTTGTGTAGGATTGTGTAGGTTTGTTTGAGTCGTTGGCTCCTGTGAGTCCGATGGTCAAATTTATTCTCCTGTTGGGAGCCGACTCTCGGATATTACCCTGTTGGGGTCCTTTAGTTTGTTTAGTTGTTTAGTTGGTTTAGTTGGTGTTGTCTTTGAGCTTTTATTCTAGCATTGCTAGCGGGATTCTAGGCGGGCTTCTGACCTGTCCTCCCACTTTTTTTTCCCGTTGGGAGCTTTGTATTCGCACACTTGTGCGCTTTGATTTTTAATAGTATCTCTATCGTTTCGGGAAAAAAAATAACTATTTAGATTTTCATCATATTTTTCAGACAAGTTATATATTGTTAAAGACACCTTATAAATCTAAATCTATGTACAGATCTAATTAAAAATATATCAAATTATAATTATGTCCAAAGTACCATAAATCAACTATAATCTATACTTATATTAAATGGGATACTATTTACTAAATATAGTAGTTAGAAAAGTCAAACTTAATTAATGAATTTCTAATTTTATCAAGTATTTAATTAATGCATCTAATATTTGGGGTATGCAAATTAAATTATCATTTAATTAGTTCCTAAAATATTGGGTATGCAATATTAATTTAGGAATATCCATATAGTTCCTAGAATGATGGTATGCAACACGTAAAAGAAGATTTTTTAATTTTTTTTTTAAAATATAAAATATTGCAACACGTAAAACTATTTCAGTTATTTTTTATTTTATTTTACATATAAAATCTAATCAATATTTAATGCATCCTACAAAATTGGATTTAGTTTAATTCTCCATACAATTGGTTGTAACTATTTCAGTTGTGCTTTTTTTATTTATTTATTTTACACTTTTAAATTAATGAAGCTCTCCAAAAATATCAAATCAAATGATTTATAAAGTTTTTTTTTTTTACTATTTTAAATCTATATATCTAGCTCAAAAAACTCATTGCATAATTATGGACGAGTTTAAGAAAATTTCATAACTCAGCTTACAAAATTCCATCTCCACGAGTCAAAAAACCACATCCCTCTCGTAACAACTTTAAAGATAAATAAATAAAAGTCTAATTACTACTATAAATCCATTATCTATTTAGATTTTTTTAAAAATCTAAATTTCACCTGTCTAATTACTAATATTTTAGATATTTTTAAATATTATTTGTGTAAGTCTTTTTACACATTTACTCTCTCTATATATATATACATATATGGAGGTTAAATGAAGAATTTTTAGACCTGTTTTTGTTACGGGTAGTTTAGAAAAATTTAGGTAGTTTCAAACATTATCTGTTAATAATATAGAATATTTTAGATGCTTTTATAGCTGTTATAAAATATTTTAAGTAATTTTAATATTTATATATCACACTTAAAAAGAATATTTTGCCAAAAAAAACATCAAATACACATTGTAAATGTTAATAAAAACATTCTTTAGTGTTCGTCTTTAATCTCAATTACATATAAAATTTCTATTTATTTGTCACATAATTTTTGGTGTGCATTAATCTCGATTTGTATTTGTAAAATTGATAGCTTTTGTATTAATTTTAATTTGTATTTGTAAAATTGATAAATTGTTAAGCGTACAAATTCCTTTTTATGGTAACAACTTAAAAAAAAATGATAGGAATTTTTTAAATATTGGGTAGTCAAATCTTCATATGGAAGTAACATCATAATTATGGTATCTTATAAATCTTTTCTAAAACAACTTTAGCGTCAGATACTGTCTTTATTTAGGCTTATAATATTTTAGATACTTAAACAAAATGTTCAGACGTATTTTTTTTACATATTCTATCTATATGTACATATATATATATATATATATGGATGCGCTCCAGTGAGAATGGTTCTCAACGAAAGAAATAAGAATACATCTCAACCACAAAATCTAATCATCCAACAATCAGAAAAAATCCAGCTTTTAACACTCATTAAGGATATTTTAGACATTATACAATTCCAGTCACATGTCCACTAGTGGGCCCCATTCCACCCACTCGCTTTCTCCCTCTTTCTCTCATGATACACGCACAAAAAACAAAAAAAAAAAGTTCAGACCAAAACAGCCCGATTCCACCATCTTTTTTCGGCGGCCAACCTCCTCCGCCTCACAGGTTCGCTGCGCGCCGTCAAATGCTGCCACCGTGAATCTCTCTCCGGCGTACAAGATCGTCTTCCACGACCACCTTCTCTGCAACCTCCGGGGAGGAGCCCGATTTCACCTCTTTCTTTGTCGGCCAATCTCCGTCGCCTCACAAGTTCCGCCCCATCGGACTTGAATCTCTCGGCGGCGGACGAGATCGTCTTCCACGGTAACCTTCTCTGCAACCTATGCGGACGAGATCGCCTTCCCCGGTCAGCCACCAACTCCACCGTCGACACCACCATCCCCTCCACAGCGGTCGCCCACCAATAAACCAACCAAAGCCGCCACCGCCGCGTCTTCATATCCCCTGCCCCGACCTGCTATATCTTACGACCCCCGTTCACTCCCAATTTCGCCGTACACGCTCGTCGTATGAACCCTAGGTCCGCCGGTTTTAACCACTACTCTCACAAGTTTTCCGGCGACGCCGCAACGGAAACACAGACGAGATCCAAATTGGGAGAGGTGGCTTTGAGCTGAAAATTGGATCATATACAGGGACATTGATACAATTTTATTTTTTTTTTTAATATTTTTGTAATATAATTGATGAGATAAATTGTAATTAATTAAACATCTAATAAATGCACATTAATGTTAGTTGAAATGCACAACATTGAATACGTATATGCACATTAAAAATGTTCAG